GAGTGACCTGGAGGTAGTTGTGGCAAAAGGTAACATGTGAGGTTGAGTTGGTGCAACGTTTTTATGACCGTATTCCCTTACTGACGTCAACCAAACTTATTATGTGGGAAGTTGGCACCCAAGGATGGCAGGTACTACAACTTGCCCAAGCCGGGTGACGTAGAGGTAGTTGTGGCAAAGGTTAACCTCATTCTCCCAAGTACAACAGCCGGATGCAGTCATGCCCAGGACTCTGAAAAGGTGATTAACAGAAGTGTGAAAAGACCTCTGAACTGTAACAGTTTTCACAAATGGATTTGTACATTATACTATACTGTAAAACTCTCGCCCTAATAAATGTTCACTGAAACAACATTTTGACTGTTTTGTATAAAGTTTATTTTCACTGATAAATGTAAAATATGAGAAAACGGTAATTTCACGGAATTTCATTTTCACCCCTTCAACGAAAATAAATTCAAGTCAAAGTAATTGACTCTATAGTGAGACATTTGAGCAATGTTATAGTTTTTAATAGTTAATTTGCTGGTGAGAGACATCATCATCCCTATAGATGTGGCTAATGCCGTTAACATAGCTAAAATTTGCTTCGGTATTTGAAACTGGGAGTAGATGGAAGTAGCTTCGAAGAGGCGCTATTTTTTAGTTGAAAATAAACGTAAACGATTGTGTCGCAAAGCCGGATTTATACAATAGTTTGAATGAAACTGGTATCTGTGTGCACATGTCAGCAGCAAAACTTGAAATTATCGCAAAAATAATTGCTTCAAACAATCCAAAAAATAATGACGATTATTGTCGTATTGTGTATATCAGGCCATTTCTCAAAACATAATGCCACAACTACAGCGATAATGATGTAAAGATAATTATATATTTTTGCTACTTTGCAGCATAACTTCCCAACATAAGTGCAGTAAGAAAACTATTAAATTATTAATATAACGTTACAAATTACCATGCATTCACCACGTTCGGTGCCATAAAAACGTAAGAATACACTTTGAATACTTTCAGCCGACGGTGACCGCAAAAAACATATATATCGCCATCTATCGACGATAGGGACAATGCCACACGTCACACAAGAAGATATAAATATACAAATATAATTTTAAAAAATGCAATACAGCACGTGTACATATCACTTAGCTGTTTTTTTATCAGTATTAGCAATTGTGCATGCCATAGTGTGATTTGGTAATTGCGTAATCTCAACCAACGCAGTCCATGGTTCACAACAAATACAATGCCTGACAAAACGTATCATTGTTCATGCCCACACATATGAGATATCTGATGTACTGAGGTAGATATGAAAATTTCTGAAGACGTTAGCTTCATTGTAAAGTATGTACATCAGAATCAGCTAGACAGAATCTGTGAATTGTTTTTACATAAATGATAGTTCATAATTCACACTACTTCAAAATCGATGTAACGCTACATATAACTTCCATGTGGTCATGTGGCTGCTAGTTAATATATTTAAATGAGTAGTGTGAGAAAAGCGTCCCGTAATTGCTTTATTGTAAAATGTTGAAAAAAACTCAAGGAATATAACAGGCAGCTCTATTTTTCTTTTCTCTTAAATTTATTGTTTTTGCCTTTTTACCAGAAAATGATGTTCGTTTTTACATTCAAATAATAAAAACCTTTAGAATGCGTGAACCTTACAAACCGCTACGACTGTTATTATTATTTATATTCCTTCTAACAATACAAAGATGTAAACTAATTTGCATAATAATAAATGAATGTTGGAGTTGCTGCATTATTGTTTTATGTGGTAATGAAATCGTCTGTACCAATATTTTGAAGTGTTAACTAATTTAAAACATATGTTGTTAAATTTAGTAACATATAGTTTTTTGCTTGATATTTTTGAAAGTTTATAAGGATTGCCGAACTTCGCCATTCGAGTAAGACACAGTGCCTTGATATTAGTCACATGAGCTGATTTATAATAGATGGCGCGTAGTAACAAAAGCATTGTAATATTCTGGTTTGTGTGTCTGTAAATGCACGTGAAACTGGATTACTCCATACAGCATGTATCACAAAAACTAAGATTGTTTACAAAGATTTAATCCATGACTCGCACATGACCCATAACTAGCACATGGCCCATAGCTAGCACATTATCCATGACTCGCACATGGCCCATATTTAGCACATGACCCACAGCTAGCACATTATTCATGACTCGAACATGACCCACAGCTAGCACATGACCCACAGCTAGCACATTATACATGACTCGCACATGACCCATAGCTAGCACATGACCCATAGCGAGCACATTACCCATGACTCGCACAAGACCCATAGCTAGCACATGACCCATAACTAGCACATTATCCATGACTCGCACATGTCCCACAGCTAGCACATTACCCATAGTCAGTACATTATCCATGGCTCGCACAAGACCCATAGCTAGCACATGACCCACAGCTAGCACATTATCCAGGACTCGTACATGACCAATAGCCAGCACATTATCCATGACTCGCACATGACCAATAGCTAGCACATTATCCATGGCTCGCCAAGACGCATAGCTAGACATGACCAGCAGCTAGCACATTATTCATGGCTCGTTCATGACCCATAGCTAGCACATGACCCATAGCGAGCACATTATCCATGACTCGCACAAGACCCATAACTAGCACATTATCCATGACTCGCACATGACCAATAGCTAGCACATGACCCATATCTAGCACATGACCCACAGCTAGCACATTATCCTGGACTCGCACATGACCCATAGCTAGCACATTATCCATAGCCAGCACATTATCCATGACTCGCACATGACCAATAGCTAGTATATGAC